CAGCAGGTTTGAATGCATCTGCACTTTATTCAGTAAATATGACCCTTAATGGAACTACGCATAGATCAGGCTTTGCAAAGATCACATTCTTATCATGAGTGACAGGATTTGTCATGATTGTAATTAAAATCCACATGTGAGTTGTTGCTTGGATTTTTATTATGTTAACAGTAACTGTTTTACTGTGCTAGTTGGTTAGCTTTTCTAAAATAAAAAGGAGGAAAGTATACATGTATTTCTCTATTCAGACCTATGTAGAAGCCAGAGGTTCAACATAATTAATGGAAGCTCTGAAACAAAAAGCTAGGAAACATAAACATTATCAAGTATCTATAATATAGGGGAAGCTTGCTAGTTTTACTGTTGAAGATATGAAATGCACAAGTGATCCAGTGACAACTGTTTTGTAATACCCATGTATCCTTTTCAAAAGGACCAAAAGACTTATTGTGGATGTGATACGAGCACAGCCAGGGGATACACTCTTAGAAATACTAGAAACACCAGCCACTGCACAACAGGTAAGTGCTATACTGTGCCTGAATAGGGAAGAAAGTACATATTTTATTACAGCTATTTGAAAGCCTTAACAGATGTCAGACAGATTTTTCCACTGCTTTATAACAATGAAATTACTGTTGCTGGTTTTAGACTATTCAGATCTAGAGACTTCAAAATGTGAGACTTGCAAACTTTATTTTACTGTATAATCAGTAACAGCTTCAGAGGAAAAGAAAAATTAATTCTTGCTGTCAAGTACCACAACTAGAGTAATATTTTTTCCTTTACTTTTTTGTAAACAGGGTCTTTCCTCTCCTATGTTATAATACAATCAAATAGCCTGAGGTGAATCCTTGTGCTAGATTTTTTTCTCATGAACTTCAGTATCTTAACTCAAGTTCCCTCATACCAAGTTTATTTGCTTAAGCAATAGAAGCAAACATCTGCTTGGGGAGCTACTGCTATCCTTGGTATGGGAATTGAGTGGGAAGAGCTCCCAGTCGAAGACTTCCCTCTAGATGCTGACACACAAAGCTACATCTCAATAATACGCACGTTTTGCCTTACCTCTGTGTGTGCGTATGTAGGGGACACCTGTGAGATCTGGACAGTCTTCCCACAACTGAGTGAAGTCATTGAGTCATCTGGCTGATTTTTAGATCTGTTTTGAGTAATTGAAATACTTGTCTAGGTGTTGTGTTTAGTTACTTAAGGTATGTCAAAAGGCACAGTAAATGGAGCACTTTCAGACCATGTGGTACAAGGATATAAATAAAGCCTGCACCTTGATTCTTGACAATCTTCTCTGACAATTCAATGTACTTGAATACTTGAATCATAGGCTGGAAAATAACTGGTTTGGGTTTGTTTTTTTGGGGGGGTTTGTTTGTGTTGTGTTTTTTTAATGCAGGAATCTGAGCACTTGAAACTTGTAGAAAAACGTGCCATCTTAGACTCCAAAACTCCAGAGAAAATGAAACACAGTCAGTCTATTTTCGAAGATGGGCAGCTACCAATAGAACAAAAGAAAAGGAAAATTCAGAGAAATCTCCGGACATTGGAACAAGCAGGGCTAGTGTCTTCAGCAACTAAGTACCAGGAAATTATAAATGAGATCGCCAAGGTAAATGGAACATGCTTCTCTGTATATTGATGGGGTTTAGGCATCTAGGCTAAATCCATTTCAGCTAGAGATGTACAAGATACATTCTCCAGAGAATGCTATGCTAAATCACTGAAGTATCCACATAAGAAACAAATAGTCTTTGCTGACAAAATAAGTGAGACAGTACTCTCATGCATAACTACCTGAACTGAATAACATACAACTGTAGCGTTGTTATCCAAATTTGATAATGATGCTGGTTTAACTTTTCCAGTACAACATGTTTCAATATGGCTGTTTATATTTCAAAAGGAATCAGAATTACCCATCAGTGTTTCGATTCATAATTAATGTAGTCTTAGTAAGGTTTAAAAAGATATTAAAAAGCCCAAAACATTCTCTGACTGGTATTAACACTGAGCTGCAGTGGCTTGGTAGGACACAAGGAGAATAGTGGGCTAACGTGGTGCCCATTCTGAGGCTGACAAAGCACCTGGCCTGATGTGTACAAATATACAAATTATACAAACAGGAAAATCCTGTTCCAAGTCCACAGCCAATAGTGGCTGTAAGAATCTTAGTGTATTGGATTATCTTTACTCATGAGTAATACTGGATTCTCTTTAATTATGCATGAGTAAATTACTCATAGCTCACGAGTGACTCATGTATTATAAATATGTATTTTTTTAAGTTGCAAATATATTTGAATATATAAATGAGTAAATTGCTCATGTGAGTTAAGTCTCTAATATAATTATGTCATGTTGCACCTACTCTGAAGTGTCATTTTGAAGCCCTGCTTGGTTCAGGTGTCTGCATCTGCTTCTACTTGAGATAAAACCATTCTACATATGTGTTCAGTGCCCCATTCTTTTTTATTTCTCATAGATAAGCCCAGATGCTTTGTTTTGAGCTGTTAAGGCAATCTGAAGATTGGGATGAGCCTTAGGACTAGAAGCTGCTTTTATTTTACTTTTGACTATCTCAACTCAACCATTACCTTCAGCCCAAGCTCTAGCTTAGCAGTAGCTAGTTCTTACCACGCAGAAGCCCAAGCTCTCATTTCTTAGGCCTCTCACCAGAAACTAGCTGTGAGAAAGCTTCCATTTATAGCACGAAGATGACGTCTTCCTTATGACTTCTGTCTGTCACGCCCTGGAGACCACAGCAGCGTTCAAGATAACTACCACTTGTACACATGAGTAGCAAAGTGATTGTTGCCTTCTGTACAGTCATTTAAACTGTAATACTTGCTACTAGTACTGTGCTTGTGAGTATTAATGTGACAGTTCATGAGTTCATGCTTTCTCCCAGTAATTAAGTCTGGTTGTATAATTACAGATTTGAATAGTAATAAGCTGAGACTTTTTAAAATATCAAATTAATAAACCTATTGCATTAATAAATTTATTTAGGATATCCGGAATCAAAGAAGATACAGACATCATCGAAAAGCTGAATTGGTGAAACTCCAGCAGACTTTGAACGCACTTAACTCCAAGACAGCATTTTATGAAGAACAAATCAATTATTACAACACCTATATAAAAACTTGTTTAGACAACTTAACAAGAAAGTGAGTTGAGTCTTCTTGTCTTTTAATATTTCAGTGTGTTTTATCAGGAAGGACAGCAGGTGTTAATCTGCTCTTGAAAGTTTTGATTGCAACAGACTGACAATCCATGGATTAAAAAAGTTCATGGGAGTTGTCACTGTGACCTGAATCAAAACCTGGAAAGTAAACTCTTGTATTTATTTAAAGCTGCCTTACAGAAAGAGGCCTGAGATGTGTATGTGTTTGCAATATATTTAATTAGTGCTACTTTGCAGATCCATTAGAATGCTTTGAAGTCATGCAGCTTTGGGAAGTAATTATTGATTTTCTTCCTTCATTAAAAGGATTCAGTTTTGTCTTTAGAATGGAAAAGGGAGAAATAAATGCCTAAAGAATTTTAGTTTTCAAGTATGATGCAGTTACTCGAGAACAAGCCATCTGCCAATGCCACTGAAGTGTCAAAATGAAAACACTTTATTGACATAAACAGGAGCTTCCCCAGTGCATACCTCATTGATCCAGAAATGAACACTAATGGCCAACTTATTTAACACCTATGTCACTCTATGCTTACAAATTGCTATTTCAAGTTGATGATTGTGGACTCTTCTCAACCAAGGTTGCATTTCACAATAGAGTTTAAACAAGTGCTGAAAAATGTTGATTCAAAATCATTGCTAAAATGTTTAGACTACTCACTGTATGTTAAATATCCCTCTAATTCTTAGGTTTATTTTGAATGTTAATTCTGTTCACTAGTAGGAGTTCAAGAAGGCAAAAAGTGAAGGAAAGCTAAATATGTCTAGAAGATTAGTTGAAGTATGAAAGACCTGATAGATCAATCAAAAGTGATTTTTCTTGTTCTTTTCCCAGAAATTCACGGAGGTCAATTAAACTAGATGGAAAGGAGGAGGTGAAGGTAAGCAAGAAGCTGAAGCAGGCCTCGTTAAAGTACACAGCTGCAAGACTGCATGAAAAAGGTGTCATCCTAGAAATTGAAGATCTTCAAACCAACCAGTAAGTGTGGTATAAAACAATTCAGAGCATTTTCTAATCAATAGCTTCTTAAGAGGGCTAGCTTTTCTTAACAAATCTTTGCAATTTCCTGTGCCACACCTAAAATTACCTCAGACTTTCACATTCAGAAGAATGATAAAACCTAATTGTCACAATTTGTTTTTTCCCTTGTACCTTGCTATATGATTACCTTTGGAAAATATTTGAATAAGCCTATTTTGGCATTAGCTTAGATGAAACCAGTACAAGTTTGTCAGCACACACTCACTGCTAATGACTGACTTGTTAAGCAGTTGTATCAGGTTTGTTTTCGGTGTTTTTTTTTTTATTTATTGACCAATCACTTTCATATAACTGAGTAAACACCTGGTTTTCTGCATTTCCTCACTACTGCAAATGAATGGATGTGGTGGTTTAACATCCCTTTTGTATCTCTCCATTTTGAGTCCACTGTAGTGAAAATTTTCCATCCTCTGCATGGGAAAAAAAGTTTTCCAGGTTGCAATTTTTTTCCAAGTGGGCTCATCAGGCAGAGGAAGCCACAGGAGGCAAACTGAAACCAGAGAAGAGTGTGTATGCACCTGCAAGGAAACACTCAGGCGTGACAGAACAAAAATCTGGCTGCCCTGTTCCTGTGCTGTGGACGCCTGGTCATCTTTGTTCCCTGAACTTCCCATAGACCCCCCCCCCAAAATAAGACTTGAGAGCTCTGTATTCCACGCTATATGTATACCAGAAAGTCTCCAAGAAGACATTGCGGTAGAGATGGAGTGGTCCAGAGTTCTTTTGTGTTCTGTAGGCTTTTTCCCCAAAACTGTATCCGGACAGTATACATAATTAACCTTCTTTTTGTTTTGAGGTTTAAGAATGTGATGTTTGATATCACACCTGGAGAAGAAGTGGGTGACTTTGAAATCAAAGCAAAGTTTTTGGGGGTTGAGATGGAAAAAGTGCAGCTCCATTTCCAGGTAGTGTTTTAATTTTGTTACTTTGCTATATAGTCACAGTTGCATTTCCTCTAAATATAAACTATTTCAGATTTTTTTTATATGTATTCATGAGCTCTTTGAGCACAGAGCAGTAGATCATGTGGGGAATTACTATATAACTTCTGCAGGATGCTGGACACAGACTTGGGTTAATGTTTATATTAGGGCAACTATATGAAACCGAATGCCACATCATTTCAGTGGCAAGGAGCAAATACCAAGAGAAAATATACATACATAGAAAACGGTATTTCTCCTGATTTGCTGTTACTGACAGTCTACAATGTGAGATCCAGAGGACATTTAATGTTTTTTATACCTACCCAATAGTTGCTTGTAACTGTTTAAATGGTAAAGGACCTGGAGTTTGAGATAGCTATCACATGATGAAAATGACGCCATCTTGTTGCTGTAAGGTATGGATTAGAGACTAATGATTTTATTTCTGATTACAGGATTTGCTTCAGATGCAGTATGAAGGTGTGGCTGTAATGAAAATGTTTGATAAAGCTAAAGTGAATGTGAATTTGCTCATATTCTTGTTGAATAAGAAGTTCTATGGAAAATAAGTGTCTTCAGATACCATGGCCTGCATCCATCAGTGGGAAGTCCATTCAGTATTTTTTGCTTTTAAACATTTGTTTGAAGTTTGTTGGATGCTTTTTAACTTTTAAAAAAAATAAAATTAAAACACCAAATGTTCAGAGGAATGTACGCAGTGCCTTTTCAGCATTGATAATGAAACCGAAAAATAGGAAGTAGTTCAAACAGTTCCAGATTTCATTGGTGTTGGTACTTTCAAATCGAAATATTTAGGACACTCAGCTATTGTGGTTGTATGGATTTTAAGGTAGGCAGAAATTGAATTTAGTTGAATATATAAACCTCTTCCTATTAAAACATTATTAAATGCCCTCAGATATATAATATACTTCTTATTAGACTTTAAGTATTTACCAAAAGAAATTCTAATTTGTTTCTAAGGGATAGTTTGGGCAAATAGTTACATACTGAGCCTATTTTCTGGCAGTTGTCAACTGTAAAGCAAACTTATTGTGCAATTCAAAATTTTTATAGGTAATTATAAAGCGACAGTAACGTCTTGCTGTACAAAAATATATTT